AGATTTTTTTGGCTGGTTTTTAATACATACATCTTTAGTTTGACACATGGGAATGCATTTCCCAACATCTGAACCGACGAAGAAAGAAAAGAAAAGAAGAAAATATACATGAATAATATCAAAATAAAAACAAAAATTAAAATAATATAAAAATAAGTATAAATGAAAATGAAAAATATATAGAAATATAAAAATAATAGAAATAGAAATAATAAAAAAAATAATAAAATAAAAATAAATATAGAAATAAAAATAGAATGTAAATAAAAAATATAAAATATAAAAATGAAAATAAATAAATCATAATAACAGAATAGAAATATATGTACGAATAAAAATATTATTTCTTCCAGTTTCTTCTGGTAGGTGTATGGCAATCTCATTTACATTAAAGAAAGCAAATAATATCTGTTTCAGCGTTGAGACCTCCGGGTTCCAGGGTGCCTAACTGATGGATCCAGAAGGTCTCAGGCTGTGCTAGTTTCTCTTCCCTATTACCACCCCTCCAATGGGGTTTGATATGTTCTATACCAAAACACCTAAAAAACGTCCAACTAAAAATTTTTAATAACTGTCCCCATCTACATCAGGGGAGGCACCCTTGGGTGCTAACCATTCATTGATCTTGTGAGTTATATTTTACACAGCGCACTTAAACTTTATTATACAGTGTTGCACTATTGTTTGATTTTATTTTTTGTAGATCTACAGCTGTATCCTCATTTTGTATATATCTATAAAGGTATGTAAGTGAAATATTTTCTTATTCACCTAATCACTTAATAAGCACTCCACTATATTTTTTGAGAGAAGATATTGTACTTACAGAAAGTATAATCTACATGAGTCTACACAAACAGATTTCAGAATAAAAAATAAATACATACATTTTTTAGATTTTTACTATATAGATAAACTTGTCCCTCAACCCTTTATAAAATAAAGTCCAGTAAGCTCGCCTCGGGGCCAATCCTCATCAGTATTTAATCCAAAAGGAAAACGGGTGCACTTTTCAATGTGCTTTATTTAAAGAATATAACTATTTTCTGTCCCGATCGACATCTCCATCTTGAAAAAGACCCGAACGGTGGGAACATCGATCGAAACATAAAATATTTATATTCTTTAAATAAAGCACATTGGAAAGACTTCTGAGTGCACCCTTTTTCCTTTGGAATATATATATATATCACACAAGATCCAATGCACTCACCTATCCACCAAACAGCAACTTCAATGTTGACAGATTTTATTAGTTTTTCTAAAAACACCTAATCTAGGCAAAAATAATGGGGGTTTAGTTACATTGTATGATCATACATTGCATAATCCTGCCACAACGTCAATGTACCCCATCTTTGGCAGGTCCTACTCTAACAGCCTAATGTCTGCTCCTATGAGATTAACCCACTTACTTGGGGGGAAAAAATCCATCTGGGGCTCTCTGCAGTACAAGGCTAAATAAGGCCCTGGGATGAGGCACCTGTGACAGGGAGGGGTGCAAAACCAAGGAGTTGGCTAGACTCCCAAATATATATATAAAAAACCAAGGGGGGAGGCTGCACTCACCTGAACATGCGCAAATGGGGTGCTGCTGGGGGCCACATTATACAATACAAAATATCCAGCACACTCACCTATCCACCAAACAGCAACTTCAATGTTGACAGATTTTATTATATATATGTATCTGTTATAATTCCTTTTTATTACCGATTGGCCTATGCCAAGCCTGGAGCTTTAGTTCCATTAGCTCCTATGTTAATCCAGGCCTGCATCCAGTATGAATGAAGTGCCTCATAGTTATGATGTATCCTTAGGTATACAGGAAAGATTGTATACAAAGCACGTGTAAGGCTTGCAAGGGACAAAATACACAACCGGTAGTAAAGGTACATAAGGTAAATACCTAAAGGTATACAACTGTATAAAATCCCTTTCCAAGTCCTGTAATCATTGATTGAGTTGTAAAGTGAATTCCTTGTGAGACCTGTAGTTGGAAGACAGAGATAAGAGCATAAAATACTGTTAGAAAGAGGTCTTACGCATGGTAGATAAACACATACTATGCTCCAAAAACAACTTTAGCTTAATGATGTGGTTTTCTTATACCCAATATTCTGCCATATAGGAGTTACATTTTAATTTCAGCTGTAGCCACAACTCTCATGGTTGTGACTCACTTAGCTTCTTTATACACTTCCCAAAAAGAGATAACATCTTTAACTTACCCTACTGCACAGTGTGCTTAATTTATAGTTTCTTATCTGCAGCTTTGTTAATTGCCTGCTAGGGTGTGCATCAGCCTACTGCGTGTGAATAAATTGCAATTAATTGCAACCTGATAATATACATATCAGTCAAGGTGTTAAGAACCCCCCAATCAACCCACCCTCTGAAAGACTAGTGTCGACTAGCTACTTGGCTCCTTCACCCTGCCAAATAAATCTAATAATAGCTTTGTACATGTTCCAAAACAATGTCTTATTTCAGTGCTATCTAGCTACTATTAGCTGATAAAAGCTAGATAGCACTGAAATAAGACATTGTTTTGGAACATGCACAAAGAATGGTCTATGCAGGTACTGTAATTTTGGTAGTATTATCATTTTCACCTCTGAAATGTGTCAAAACAAGGATAAAGATTTACTTGTCTAATTGTTTAGAGTACTTCAAATCTGCTTATATAATCTGGTGTAATTATAGGTAGACTTAAAGACGATCTTTATTTTAATCCATAGAAAAATAAGGAAATCTGATCTCCAATCAAAATAGAATCTCTCTATCAATATGGATAAATATGTAGTTTCCACTGCTAGTTGTGTCTTGGATGTATTCCATTTATAGTAGCAATGTTATAGGCATATACAATATTACAGGTTTACTGTATTCCTGGAAGATAGTCGGTAAACTAGGTAGGCAGGTAATAGTCAGGAGAGTGCTCTTCCTCACTTACTTTATGTGCTTATCCAAAATGGAAGTGAGGGTTTATCGGGGGAAGCACTGGATAACAATGCATTAAAATAGAGTTAATTTTTTAAAGAAACTGCACATTCTGTCAAGGAAGCTTACAAACTTCAATTCGCAATGAGAAAACTAACAAATTCCAATTCTCAATGAGAGGCATTTAAATCTAATAAAAAAAACATGCTTTCAAATTTGCTGTCAAATAAAAAAAAAATATATAGGACTAGTTGAAGCCTCACTGATTTGCATTTTATCATATTTTTAAGAGCAGTAAAAAAGACTTGGTTCAATCCTAATAGGAAAAAATAATTTTGAAGCATGACCTGGTTAATTAATATCTAGCAGTGGTTTATAATAAAGTGTACAAATTAACATTTCTGGTGCTGTAAATCAATGCAATTAAATTAATGGAAAACATGTGCTGATGTTCTATTCATTTGCATTTAGGTATTTCTACTGCATTGCATAAAGATTTAATTAACCAGAACTTCTTTTAGAAGACCACTTGGGAGTGTGGCCCTGTACCTGGAAGTGCCCCTCGGCTTGTTCTTGGCATGCAAGTCCATAATAAATACATTTTCTTCATTACATGACTACCTTGAGAAAATGTAATTTATTTATTTTTTTATATAAAAAATACGAAATTCCAGTATATACCCATGCACACATAAAAACAAAAAAAAATCATATTTTTTTTTTTTTAAAGTGCAGACTTTATGGTGGAATTACACCCCCAGTATTTGTAGATCACATGGTAAGAAATTACTTTATATCAAAACTGGTCCTAGCAAAATCATCCTTCCCAGAGATCATCCCTGCCTACCTGTCCGGGCCTCTAAATGAATTGTAAGAGGATGATGTTTAAGCCTTTACTGGGTTCTTTTGCACATCATTTGTATTCAGAGGGCAGAATCTCGAGGGAACCAACAAACATAAACATGCTTTTTTTCATTAGTAATTCAGAGTGATTTCCTTGGCATCAGAAAAAAAGGTTTAGGGTGTAGAGTAGGCAGTTTGTTTTTGGGTGGGGGCAAATAAGCAGCTTGATTTCCCATGGTGGACAAGGGGACTGCCCAATCATGTGGGCTGGTTCTCCTGTCCAATCAAGAGGTTAAAAAAAGTAAATAAACCAACAGAGGGGAAAAAAGGAGGAAAAATAAAACTATAATCTATACTAATAAGCAATGTGAGACTAGCTTACCAATGTATTTCCTTGGGATGCTCTGCAGACCAGCACCAAGGTACACACTTGGCTACAACTGTTACTGCACAGGTTAATACCTTGGATAATCTTCAGTTAGAGAGGACGTGACACATTAGCACAAGTTCTTCATGGACAGGGAGATGAAAGGTATGAGGGGACAATATCATTCTTTCACAGCTCCCCCTTGATGCATGCTCAATCACTCCTACATTCTCCTTAACTTATTTTATTCCCCCATGAATATGAGGTTTATCTTCTTATTTATTGTTGTTAGTGAAGTAAGATAGCCTTGTTTCCCATACTCTTCATGAGGAGTAGGCCAAGGAGATATTGTAATTACAGAAAACATGGTCTACACGGATCTACACAGACGTAGATTTTATTTGTAGACTATATTTCGTAGGCAGGTTTTATTTGTAGACTCATTTATCTAGGTGGTTGTGATCTGAATGCTAATAGAAAATATCTTACATGATATTCAACCTTGTCTACACCATGGCACCAATTTAGCCAAGCCTCAGCCAACTGCATTCAGGAAGTGGCTGAGGCTCCCAATGCCAATCTTCTGTCTTTCAGCTCCCACTGTAATCAAAGGAAAAGGCCCTTTAACCCCTTAAGGACACATGACGTGTGACATGTCATGATTCCCTTTTATTACAGAAGTTTGGTCTTAAAGGGGTTAAATGTACACATATAAATTCAGCAAATGCATGTGCAGTAGATTTCCTGTTTAAATCTGTGAAATGCTGTCATAAATGCAAAGTGTACTGACAATGGCTACCTTTCAAAATTATTTATTTGGACCACAGAACTACACTGAAGGTAAAGCCACATTCTCACTACAGCCTCTCTGACACCCTGTATAATTAAAAAAAAAATATATATATATATAAAAAGTATATATATATATATATATATATATATATATATATATATATATATATATATATACATATACACAGGTTGTCAGATAGGCTGTAGTGAGAATGTGGCTTTACTATAGTCAAGTGGATACATGTTAGAATATACTATACCTGGAATGTCCCTTTAACAAATTTCAGGAAGTTTTCTTACCGTTAGCTACAATCAGAAGCAAGCAGCAGGCTATATAGTGCCCAGTTGTTATATACATCTACATTTACTCATCCAAACCATGAAACCGAAGAAGATATAATCATATTAAATTAAAAGTAAATAAGCCTTTTATATGGGCATCTAACATATGAACACCATTTAATTTATTTTAAGAATGTTTAAAACAGGATGCGTGTTACTTAAATGATCAATATTTATTAAAATGGTTGCTGCCTTTAGGTAGCTGATTATCAATAGGCTTTTAGTTGAATAAGTGGAAGACATAAAAAGTGACCCCTGATATGTTTTCAGTCAACAACAGCAAACTGTGAAAAGTCAGAAAACCTCATTAATAAAGTTGTATATAAACAACAAACTAGATTTTACACTCAAAGGATGGCATTTGTATAATTTGCACTTCTTAGCCAGACTGACATTAAAATTTTACAGTATGCTCAATTCCTGAATGATCCAGCAGGTGATGCTCTACCATCTTGTTTTGGATTCATTACTTTTTTTAACTGCATAATGATTGCCATGAAATTGGAATAGGTGAACTAAAAATGAAATATCTAAAATGAGATATAGAAGCAAATATATGATGCCTCTGAAATTGTAAAATGCACAATCCCAAGCAAACAAGGCATTATTTCAGTTCCTCGGCATGCTTTGCCTTGCTTCCCCACACTCCATTTAATTTATATTTGCACGCAAATAAAATTACTACAGTGCAAAGTGTGATAATAAAGTAATTAAAATCACTGCAGCATATTATTGGTCAACAATTATACTGTCCTACCAGCAATGTTGAATTTCTAAGGGACTAATCTTCCTTCTGTTCAGTTTTTTTATTATATAATTTTTAAAAAGTATTTATTTTAAATACTCTTATGTTATTTATAATTTGAATATTAAAAATACTTTTTTTTTTGCTTACAAATAGTTTTGCTGCTATGCAAACTGCATGACGCTATTTGATGAAATTAGCATCCTGAATAATGGAACAGCATTTACATACTTGATACATTTCAAAAAATATATTTTATTTTGATGTGGTTGCATACTGTGTTAATTATAGTCTTGTGTATAACATGATCATGGGTTAATATTATATAGTCTTATGTGCATTGTATAATTTATGCCCTGCCAATCAGGTCTTTTAATGTAATTGACTACTGCTTTATGACCTGCAACATAGGAAGACTAACAGGTTCTATGTGATTGTCTAGAACATGGATATGGGGGGATGCAAACTAATACTTTAATGTTCTATTTAATTCCACAGTTGTTTATGATTTTATATGACAGTAATAATTGCAAAAAATGGAACATGATGTATGCATAGGTACGAAGCTATAGAGGAGGGGTTCTGAAATTCCCTAGTAATTACAGAGGAGGAGAATTTTGGTTACAATGAACTGAAAATCTCACCATTCTCTGGAAGTATGTATTTATTAAAGACATAATTCTTACTGCTTCATCTTGCCTTGTGAGCTAATTACCTGTAGTTACAGGAAACTTAAAGGGACACTATAGTCACCAAAACAATATTAACTTAACAAAGCAGTTATGATGTATCGATAATGCTCATGCAGTCTCATTGCTCAATTCTCTGCCATTTAGGAGTTAAATCACTTTGTTTATGCAGCCCTAGGCACACCTCCCTGCATGTGACTTACACAGCCTTCCTATACCCTTCCTAAAGAATGTTTATACTTTCTATATTGCAAATTCTGTTTAATTCAAAATTTCCTATCCCCTGCTCTGTTAATAGCTTGTTAGACCTTGCAGGAGTCTCCTGCATGTAATTATTGTTCAATTTACTGAGCAGGAGATAAACACTTTTAAAGTAAGTTATATCTGATTGAAAATGAAACCCTTTTTGTTTTCATGGAGGCTGTGTCAGTCGCAGCCATGGAAGGTGTGGCTTGGGCTGCATAAACAAAAACAAGAGTGGTTTTACTCCTAAATGGCAGTGAGTTGAGCTGTGAGACTGCATGGGCATAATCTATGCACAAAAACTGCTTCATTAAGCTATAGTTGTTTTGGTGACTATAGTATCCCTTTAAACAATGTCTGCATGTAAGGCAAGGCTGTGCCTAGTAGATAAATAGGAGAGTTTGCTATTAAAACATTGCAACAATTACTGCAGATTGCAAATAACAGATCCTTGACTGCACCTCACTCTGTACATGGATTGATACAGCAATGATAAATTACAGGAGAGGTAGAAACCTGTAACACGAATAGTATATATTACTAGGCAAAGGCAAGAAGGAACACATCCAGTGGCGTACACACAACCCATGGAGCCCCGGTGCAAAAACTGATCCGTGGCCCCCACCCGTGCTTACTCTGCGCGGGCCGGGGCCACAACACATGGCTGCGACCCCTGCGACTGCGGTATGTACGCCAGTGCATGCAGATACACATAGACTTAAAGGACCAGCTCAATGAAGTGGTCTGGGTGCCAGGTCCCTCTAGTTTTAACCCTGTAGCTGAAAACATAGCAGTTTCAGAGAAACTGCTATGTTTCACTGATGGTTAATCCAGCCTCTAGTGGCTGACTCATTGACAGCCGCTAGAGGAGCTTCCACGATTCTCACTGTGAAAATCACAGAGAGAAGACGCTGAATGTCCATAGGAAAGCATTGAGTAATGCTTTCCTATGGGCGGTTTGAATGCGCGTGTGGCTCTTGCCGCGCATGCGCATTCGGAGCTGAGAGGCGGATCAGGGCGGAGGGATCCCCAGTGCCAAGGGAGTCCGGCGCTGGAGAAAGGTAAGCGCTGAAGACACACACACACTCTCAGGAACAGACACATACACACTAGCTAACAGACACACACATTTACTGACAGACACACACTCAGTGACAGACATACATACACACTCACTGACAGACAGACACATACACACTCACTTACAAAACACACACTCACTAACAGACACCAAACAGACTCACTAACAGACGCACACAAACTAACACACTCTGTAACACACACACAGTAACACACTCACTGACACACACAAACTAACACACACACTGACACAAAAACTAGCACACACTCTAACACTAACACACACTCTACCACACACACTCTAACACTAACACACACACACACTCTAACACACACACACAAACTCTAACACTAACACACACACTAACACACACTAACACAAAAACTAACACACCCTCTAACACTAACACGCACACAAAAATTAACACTAACACACACACTCTAACACACACTCTAACACACACGTTTAAAAAAAAAAAAAAAATTAATCCCCCAGCCTCCCTAACTTTAGGGAGTGCTGAGCCGATTCCCTGGGGTCCAATGGGGTTGACATCATCTTCCGGCTCCGGCATCAGTGCGGTGCGCGAGGGAGCTGAAGAGGAAGCACTCAGGGGAGAGTGCACCCTTGTGCGCCCGCCAGCCCATCCGCTGGGTGACAACAGGGCCAGCCTCGGGGGGCCCTGAGGTGGCCGGCTCCTGGGCCCCCCAGGAGAAGAGGCTGGCCACATTGGGTTCATACCGGGTTGCAGGGCGGCCGGGCCCCCTGCTGGTCCGGGCCCGGTTGCAGCCGCGACCCCTGCGACCCCTGCAACCCCGGTATGTACGCCACTGAGCACATCATTCAGATAGTTGTGAAAGGATGAGCCATAGAAATTGTGGCTACTACTGATTATAAGTAGGAAATTTGGGCCAACACCACTAGGACATACATTCAAAGATAAAAAAAAAAAAACGTAAATACAAATTATGCCAACAGTAAAATCAAAATAATTAGAGACTGTTGATCAATATAAGTAGGTAATATGTAGTAGGCAGGACACCAATGAAAATTTGGTGTCACAGTGGCACAGGATACATCGTGGCAACAGACATATAAATAAGTCGATTTGCGAATAAAAAGGGATAGATTTGTTAAGTCCCCAGGTGACCAGTTCATGGATCAAATAGGCCTCTCGATTCAGTAGCATTTTGCCTCGGTTACCACTTCTTTTTTTTAATGGTATGTGATCAATGTATGATCAGTTGTAAAAAATGTTTTCCCACGGGTTTGTCTGACATTCAATCTCTTTAGGCTAATCTGATGCACGACCTATGCCCTTTTATCCGTTCACATAAGGCTGTCTTGTCATTTCCAACGTAGGAAAGACCGCAGGGGCAGGTCAACTTGTAAACAACGTTGGATGTCTTGCAGGTAATAGTATGTTTGATCACGTATTTTTTTGTTGGTATGCCGATGGTTGAATATACGAGCTGGTAACATGTGGCTGCATGTGACGCAACCTAGGCACCATACTGAACCCTGGTTTTGGACACTGTTAGCTATTAATAGAATCAATGTGGACTAATAGGTCTTTGAGGTTCTTGTTCAAATGTGAGTGTTTTAAAACAGTAAAATGTAAAATGATTATATCAATGGTGAAAGGGCAGTTTATATGTTTAAAATGCAAAATATAAATATGAACACTAGCTTTTGTCAGGGGTTGTGAGTAAGTTGCTTCTAAAAAAGACAGAACATACCACATTTTGAATACCCTGAGCTGTTTAGGTTTGCAAATGGTATGCCATGATTGTGGTAATTCCCATTAATGAGCTGCCAAACAGCCTCAAAGGCAGCAAAGGCCCAGCAAACCAATTTAGAAAATTTCAATGTGTAACAGCTGTAAATGGGAAAGCCCTATATTTACAAAACCCCATAAAACCTGTACATGGGGGGTACTGCTGTACTCTGCAGACATTGTGAACACAAATATGTGTATTTTATTGCAGAAAAATGCAACAGTGTTATGACATCCAAAGTTAAGTTGCCATGCAGAACTAGGAAATACAATTTCTTAATTCTCACACTTTTTAGATTTTATTCATATTAAATTGTGTTTCATATATAAATATTTGATGTAA